AGGTGTGAGGAAAAGCGCTGAATTGGAACTAATGCTCTTAGACAAGGAGCCGTTTCCATAGATTTCTAGGTCAAGCACTTGAACGTGGTGTCCGGGATGCTGCTAATGATAGTTTGCATGGCCTGTGTGCTCAGTATGTGGCCAAAACCTTTCTCTAGTTTAGTAAATGTCCTGTGCTGATTTTGGCAAGAGGAGGGAAATTATTAATAGAGTCCCAGCCTGGGGCATATTAAGAGATAGGGACAGTACTTCCTGTCACACAGGGCAGCTGTTCCAGGTTATTTCCAATTGTTTCTGTACGATTTGGAAGGTGTTTGACTGACGGGCAGGCCGGGAAGATGGAATCACGCCTTTGAGTGAACCCCAGAGAGCAGGGCTAATAACAAGGCAGAGCTTCAGCTACGCGTTGCGTCAGGGAACACGCACGTGTTCTAACATCATGGCCCTCACATTCCATGAAGCATGTTTAGCAGGATGTGGGTGGCTTTGGGAAGCTTATGACCTGAACTCTCTCACAATTGTCAGAGAGTAAGTTGTCACCTTCCGGTTCGGCTTGGGAGTTATCACAAATGTCCTAATCAAAATTCCTGTCATCCATCACTGACAAGTTTGAATGAGAACCTTTGCGTCTATTCTCTTCCCTCCTCCCCCCCTTAGGGATAGCACTGCCCTTAATTCACTCAGCCCACCAAGATTCAGTCACAGAATTTTAGAACTGGAACAGACTTTCCATATACAGCTCCTTTCAGCTGAAGAGAAAACTGAGGTGGTAGAAGGGTTGGTGCACTCGGGGTGCAGGCCCCTCACTACTGTTGTTTCTTTCCTCACCCTCGATACTTTATAGCTGTGGATTAACTGGCTTAGCTTTCTCATAGAAACACCACCCCCTTACCTTTGAAGAGTGCTTTAAAGTTTCAAAGACCTTACAGGATGACAGATTTTAACCTGGCCCATGAGAAACAACCAGAGAATGGATGTGACTTGTCCAAGATCACACAGCCAGTTGCTGTCATAGCCAGGGGTCGAATCTCATTCCCTGCCCCCAGCCTTGTTCACCTCTGACTGCACATGGAAAGCCAGATAGCTTTGTTTGGTTGCCTGCTGTGGAGGAGGAAGACAGAGTCTAAAAAAAGAACTTGGGGATCCGACTGGAAATTAAAAATCATCTGATAAAAGGCGGGTCTTTCATCTCTAAGGAACTGGACTCTGAACTGCATTAGCAGTAAAAATATATGGTCTCAGTACTGCAGTCCTGGGGAGTAATTAGGAGGTGACTTCAAAGGCCTCTCCAAGCCTCGGCCCGTGTGCAGCCAGTGTGCAGAGATAGCTGGCTTTGAACATAGCGCCCGTCGCAGTCTTCCCAAGCCTTCCACTCAGCACCCGGAGGCCCCGGGCTTGCAGAGAAAAGCAGCTGCCTCTGGGAGTGGGTGAGGCTCTGGCAGCAAAGCCTTTAGATGTGTGGGGGGGGTGGCAGGTGCTTTCATGGCTTCCGGGTTAGATACCCACCTGGAGCTGCCCCTGACCCTAGGCTTAAGGCTGCCTGGCCACGTGGAAACTGAATTCCGATTACACATCTGTGTAGCGCTGCTGCAGTGTTTGCCAGCCCCTGTTCAAAATAATCTGATTTCAGATTTAAAAAGGATCTTGGATTGTTTTTCTTTTTTACCTGTTCCGAATAAAACACTGATGCACCCTCCTCTCCAAATCCTCTCTGTCCCTGCAGCTTATTTTGGTGCCACACTTAACAGCTTCATCCATGTCCTCATGTACTCGTACTATGGTCTGTCTTCGGTCCCTTCCATGCGTCCATACCTCTGGTGGAAGAAGTACATCACTCAGGGCCAACTGGTGAGTGCCTCAGCCTCTTTCCCCAGCACTCGCTGCTGGGGGTACACAGAGCTCTTCCTGGGGGTGCTCCTGCTGCCTTCCTGGCTTGATTGTTGTTCAGTAGCACCTACAATATGCCTTTCCCACCCTTTCTCATGTGTTCCGATTAAAACTCCATGAGATGGTCAGAGAGGGAAATTTTCTTAATTTTAACCAATGGAGAAACTGTTCCCGTGGGCATACAGCTAGTTGAGTTGCAGAATGAGGACTGGAGTCTAATTTTCTGACTTGAAGTTCAGTCCTCTGTTCTTCGTTTGTAAACAAAGCATGTGTGCATATGTGTGTCTGTCTGTCTAGGTGTCCACTAATTACAATCCAAAATCCAAAGTGAAAGCTGTTTATCTGTGTTCCCAGGAATTTCAGAAGGAGCCATGGAGGGGCATGAGTCCAGAGTGCTTGTAGCTTCTTAGGCAGCGGGTATATTTGCTAAGGCAGGTGCCAGGTGACCCTTCAGCTCTCTTGTAATGGAGCACCTGTTGGTGAGAATGACACCTGCTGTGCTCCAGATGAAGCCCCCTTCCCCAGGTTCACCAGGCCAGGGCCCCCCAGCAACTGTTTGCACCTGGTGGTCATTTCTCACCATCCCTTTCTTAAGCATTCCCTCACTGGCAGTATCTCATAGACCCCTATTCCTCTCCCCTCATGAGTTCTTCCACAACTCATCATTCATACTATTACTAATGATAAACGCTGACATTGTGGAGTCTACTGTGTTGGGCACTCGTGCTTAGTAAGCCGTTCTACACGAATTGTTCCAATAGCCTGGTGTCATGTTATCATTACCCTTTTGCAGAAGAGGACACTGAAGCAGTAGGCCCAGACTAGCTGACGGGGGGCTGAGACATCAACACATACCTGCCCTTGCCTTTTAACAGGTTTTCCAAAGAAACCAAGGGGATTCAGATCCCTCCAAGTTGATTGTAATTTTTCAATATTTAAAAATAACAATCTGGGGGGGGGGAATTGGAGACGATCTGAACTCCTGATGTGTTTGACATTTCATTATCACTTCCCATCAGCTGTTGTACAGTCCTTGTGTTACACTCGAGGAGCAGCGATGAGATTGGCTTACACTACACAGCCGCTGGTCCACCGAAGCAGAGTTTAAAAGAACTGACTGGGGAAGTTGGCCCTTAGAGGCAGAAGATAACACCCTGTTTGCCGAGATTTTAAGCGCCACCTCTAGTTATTACTCAGCTAAGGGTACTTACCTTAAAAAAGAGAAAAATAAGAAAAAGCAGTTCTTTATACAGTAACACTGGAGCTAGGCCCAAAATGTAGCTGCAGAACCCTGCCCTCTGCTATTACTTCTCTTGTAAGATGCTCCTCCGGTAGCCACACTTTATTTTAACACCTTGCTGGCGGGTCACAGTATACACATGCTTCTGTGTCCGAACATTGCTGACTGGTCACGAGATGACTCGTGTCCGCACTTACATTAATTTAAGTCATTTTAAACACCTTGTTGACCTTTCACGACAGAAAAGTAGCCTGCCGCATGGGCGAGTTCTGGCACAAAATAACCGGTCAGCAAGGTAACACCCTTGCGTCATTTTTTCAAGCACTTCTACATGCTTTTCAAGATTTACTCGTCAAAAATTTTCTGTGGACTTTGCATTATAGTCCGATAAGAATTTAAACCTACTTATCAGCCTTCACCAAACCAAAAGGGAACACAATTAAGGACTAGGAAAGGTGTCCAGCAGGATCGGACATTCTGTAGGGACATCACTGGTTCCCTTTAAACATGCACCCCACGCCCTTTCTTCCTCCCTAAAAAACACACACACAAAAAAAAACTTGCATCTCTCTCTGTACTATGTCCCTGAAGTTTCCGTGTGTATTTTGGCTGTGTTGTTTTTTTTAACATTTTCTTTTTGTCTCCAGCTTCGTTGAGCATAATTGACATATAACATTGTATGAGTTTAAGGTGTACAGCATAGCAATTCAATTATATGTATGTATTAGGAAATGATTACCACAGTAATCACCTCACATAGTTACAGGTTTTTTCTTGTGATGAGAACTTTTAAGATCTATTCTGAGCAACTTTGAAGGATGTAATACAGTATTGTTAACTGTTCTTTGAATTTCAGAAAAGGTGGTTTAAGTAGCTTGGAAGGGAAGAAGAGTGTATATAAGACAAATACAGAAAGATGTATAGTTTGGGATAAATTTAGCATATGCTTCGTGTTTGTGGTACCTACAGAAAGGTTCTAAGTGTAATTCACAAGTGGGGATGCAGGGTAGAGAGCCCAGTCTGGCGTGGCCCCTTGTCCATGGGCTGTACCATGGGCTCAGCTGTCCCCTCTCTCCCATCAGCTTCAGTTTGTGCTGACAATCGTGCAGACCACCTGCGGGGTCATCTGGCCGTGTTCGTTCCCTCTTGGTTGGTTATATTTCCAGATTGGATACATGATTTCTCTGATCACTCTCTTCACAAACTTCTACATTCAGGTAAGTCTCCCTCGTCGGTGGCAGTTGGGCTTTGGGGCTTTATCACAGAGACCCTCACCTGTTCGTTTAAGGGGGACATGTAGAGGCCCTGCCTTGTGCCAGGCACTGGGCACTAATTTAGTCACAGTGACAGGGCAGTCCCTGCCTTTGGGAGGGAGGATCACTGCTAATGTAGAAGATGCTATATCTTTCCTGGGCCTCCCAAGTCCTAGATTTTTGGGAAGGGAGGCTTGGGATTTATGTGGAAAAGCAAAACTGCTCAGGAGGTTCCTATATCACTTCCCTGAAGACCTGCGGCAGACACGTGGTAAGTGATTTTCAGTCAGAAGTCTCACAGCCCTGCTGCCACTGTTAAATTAAATGTCTGAAGAAATTTCCATCACAGTCTATCAGCTATAGATAGAAATCTGCCCTTTGTCCCAGTTTTCTTGCACATCCACTTCTCCAGTTTGGAGGCTCAGTTCATTTCCAAGTGCATGATGTAATGCGGGTTTTACTCACAGAAGGGTCCATTTAGGGCACATTATCTCCGGTGGAGCCTGACCACTTTGCAGCCACTGCAGATTGCCCTGCCTCCCATCACCCCTGGGTGATGTATGTTCCGGCTCCCGTGGGCAGTGTCTGGTTCCAGGGCGGGCATAGGAGGTCAGGGGCAAGGACAGAGGCCACGGCCACCAGGGCAGTAGAGCCTGGTCATGTCCAGCAGCCACCTGGCGGCCCCGCCACGTTTCCTCTTCCCTCTGCCCTCCTGTGCTCTGATTCACACACACCGGGGCTGGCATCTTGGAGTTGAGTTCACATACCGATGGCCTAGTAGTGCGTGCTGCGCTTTGGGACGTTTCATCAGGACAAGGGAGTTAAAGGACAGGACCCCATGAAGGTGCAATAATGCTGACGTTAGCTGCTTATAACAGCCATGGCACTTTGTACACGAGGGCCGAAATAGCTGCTGAAGTAATGAGCACATCTTTTTTTTTTTAAACTTTTTAAAACTTTGTTGTTGTTAATCCTCCCCCGAGGATATTTTTTCCATTGATTCTTACAGAGTGGAAGAGGGGGAGGTGGAGGGAGAGAGAAGCATCCACGTGAGAGACATATCTGTTGTCTTCCACATGCACCCCTCCTGGGGCCAGGGATGGAACCTGCAACCCAGGTACCGGCCCTTGACCGGAAATCGAACCCGAGACCCTTCAGTGTGCAGACCAACGCTCTAACCACTGAGCGACCTGACCAGAGCAACTTTTTTTTTTTAGAGAGAAACATCGATTTGTTGTTCCACTTATTTTTCATTCATTGGTTGAGTCTTGTGTGGGCCCTAACCGGGGATCAAATGCATCAGAACGACGCTCTAACCAACAGAGCTACCCAGCCAGGGCCTATTGAGCCTTTTCTTGAAGACAAGGGCTATGAGTTCCCAAAGACGTACTACAGACTAGGAGAAACCAGTGGGGTCACGTAACCCCTCTCCTCTGCCATCCAGATACTGAAGGGGCACAACAATAAAGTGTAAATTGACTTTTCTGTTTAATTTTTAAAATAGTATTTTTATTGCAGCCCATGACTCAGTGAACTATAGGCTAAGCCTCAAAAAACAGAAGAGTGATTGAAACCAGTGGCAAAAAAAATACCCAGAAATGTTCTCATGGTTGCTCAACTACAAAAATTCCTTCTTGATAGCATTGGGCCCTGAAGGGAAACTGGGTTAGTGTTAGGGGTGCCACCCTAGCACAGTGCCAGGTCACCTGCTGCTATCTGCCCCTGTGTGTTTCAGACTTACAACAAGAAGGGTGCCTCCCGACGGAAAGAGCACCTGAGGGACCACCAGAATGGGTCCCTGGCCGCTGCCAACGGACACACCAACAGCTTCTCGTCCCTGGAAAACAATGTGAAGCCGAGGAAGCAACGGAAGGATTGAGGTTGAAGAGTTGCAAACCTCCAAACCACGTCGTCTGATTGTAAGCACAGTATGAGTTGTGCCCGATGCTCGTTAACAGCTGCTGTACCTAGTCCGGCCTACAATAGTGTGATTCACGTAGGACCTCTTTCATCACTTCAAAACCCCTAAAAAACATATACAGAGTAGACAAGTAGGCATAAGATTTTTAACATTTCTGGGCTCTCGCCGACCCCTGCGCCACAGCGCGGAGGGAGTGTTATTGTAGTATACGACACTGCTGTTGCCTTATTAGTTATAACATGATAGGTGCTGAATTGTGATTCACAATTTGAAAACACTGTAATCCAAACTTTTTTTTTTTTTTTACTGTAGATCATGCATGTGATTGTAAATTTGTACAGTGTTACAGTAGAGAAACACACATGCCTTAAAATTTTAAAAGCAGGGCCCAAAGCTTATTAGTTTTAATTAGGGTACGTTTCGAGTTTTGATTCCTTTTCAATAGCTCTGATTAGAAAAATCAAAGACCATGATTTATGAACTAGCGTGTGACACATGATTTCAGGTGACTTGTACATGTGAAGTCAGAAACGGCACCTTCGGTTTTGTAATATTGGCTTTAAATCAGGCAGGCTCAACTCTAGTGGAACAGTCAGTTTAACTTTTTAACAGATCTTATTTTTTTATTTTGATTGCCACTATTAATAATGTAAAAAGGGGTGGGGGGCTCTAAAGCAGTCTTGATGAAACTTAAATATATATTCTTTATCTTCAAGATTTTAGGAAGTGTGTAGGATGAGTAGGCCATGTTTAAGTTCTGAAGTGCTCAATGTTTTTATACGGGAAACAAAGCCCATTTTGCTTCCACTTGTGAGAGAGAGGAGATAGATTTTTCAAGCGCGAGGACTGATTATATAACATTTGACGGACTCCCACAGATGAGCAGTGGTTGCCAGGGTCCAGATGCAGATTGATTTCTGTACTGCTATCTATGTTGACACAAACTTCCTTTTAAAATGTGCCTAGCTTACCAAAATTAATAAAGTGTGGGGGGGCAAAGGACCTTCCCTAAAAAAAATTTAAGGTAAAATTAAACAGATAGCTACAGCATAAGAGAACTGGGAAATTGGATAGAGATCATTTGTTTAATGTAACTCTAGTAGCACTTGTCATATTTTTTCTGCTTAGAATCTAAAGATTTGTTCAGAACCGCTTGTTTAAAAAGAATAGACTACTTATAAAGTCATGTCTCACACCTTTTCGGAGGCAATGGTCAAACAGATACAGACTTTTGTGTGTGTCATTTTAAAGTGTCAGCATTTAGTCTCTGAATACCTTCTCCATCGGGGAAAAATATTCATGGAACCACTCGTGACACATCTTAGAAAGTCATTGACAATGTATAAACTAATTGTTGGTTTGATATTTATGTAAATATCATGCTTTAATTTTGCACATTCATATTATAGGGAGCCAGTTGGTTCTCTAGTTAGTCTTGTGGGTTTTCTGTTGGAAGGAGTCACAGCATCTGTTTTCATTTACCTTATCAAGTCTAGAAGGTGTATATTTGTAAATGTACGTCTTCCCAGGTACTAGTTTGTGAAAGTCTTTACATATTTCAATACAGAAACTGTAACATTCAGTAGTGTGCTGTCAAAGTGTGCTTTAGCTCATCTGGATATACCCACACTCTTCAATAATGTCTGAACATTAATCATTAAAACGTTTTTGATTACCTGTGCTTGCGCTGTCTGTGGTTTTTGTGTTGCCGATTATGAAGGATGAGACAAATCCACTTTCTTCACCTTCTGGGGACTCACATGATGGATGTCCATAATGCAGTGTGAGGTCATGTTGCCCAGCGCACACGAGGAGGGCTTTCCACACAGTAAGGCATGGTGTTGGTCCTACTAATTCTTTCCTCTCTGCCTTTTCCCAGTTCCTCCACGAAAGTCTAACTCTAAGAATTCTCCTTTTTCCTTTCTTGCTTCTCTCCCCCTCTCTCCCCGTACCCCAGGCTGTTAGCCACTTTCCTAAGTAGACCAGAGGTTCACACTTTCTTAATGCAGAGAGCCAGACAGTACACCTCATTTGCTGACCCCCTACTCTAAAGTAATGAGGTCCCGCCTTGGTACTAAAACTCTATCACTTTCTTTGCCAAAGACCATTTCCTGTCCCATATCCTGGCTTCTCCCAGCCCACCCCATTGTGGCCTTTCAGGTCCATCCATGTCCACAGTGGGAGTGATGACATGAGGGGCCCCTCTTCCTTCCATGTACTTTATACCACACAGCTCCCAGTGTAGGCTTGGTTCTGGCATCTGAGTCCCTTTTAGTTTGTCAGTATCACCTTGAAAATGTCATCAGAAACTGCATTTGGTATTTGGGATATTATCTGAAAAGTACAAAGGACGATTGGAGGTTTGCTGGTGATGATTAATCATATCCTGTCTTTCCCCTTTTTAAGTCCAGAACAAATTGAAAAAACAGGACATAGAAGCCAAACTAGTGGAAATCAAAATAGCCCATCCTTTACTGAGAAGACTGGATTGGCGGAGCTGAGATCACAATAGGACTCTCTAAATATCCAGGCTAATATCCTATTTACATAAGCTTATCATCACTGATACCAGCCACATAAGCGGTTTATGGCTGCCTCTCTTCTGATTGCTGGTCTGATGGTGAGCTGGTAATTAAAATATTTTGAATATCAGCCCTGGAATTTACCCACCTAAACTACAAGCTCCCCTTGTAGTATCAATTCTGCCCTGATCTTACCACGCCAAGAAAGTGTGCTCAGTGGCATCTCCCAGGCTTGGCAACCAGAGCGTCGCCCTCCTCCCCTCAGAGAAGTGAGTGGGGAGAGGGCGAGATGTGTGTCCACACTTTTCCCCCTCCTGTGTGGAAGTGAGAGGGCCAGTTGGCTCACCTGTATAGAAAAGGGATACTCCCGTTTCCCCTCTTTTTATCAGCCTTGCCATTCATGTGGAAAGGCAGGAGAGCCTAATGTGAGACTGGGATTTGGGGCTGATTGCCTGGTTGGAATCCTACCTGTATGACCTTGAGACACATGCTCTAACTTGGCTTCAGTGTTCTCATCTGCCAAATGAGATAATGTGAGCTCCCACATCATAGGGTCGTTAGGAGGGTTAAATAGATAAGAGATATAAAAAGCCCTTGGAATCACGTCTAGCACAGAGTAAACTACTGAAGTGTTAGCTGTTACCTTCAAGATGGTATTCCGCTCAGTCCACCTCACTGGTCTATCAGCTGCACTGTCAGCTACTGTTTTACTGTTATTTCCTTGGCTGGTAGCTCTGGTAATCCTATCACAAAGGGAAGGAAGTCTGTATGACACTTTCTTTGTTGAATCAAGAGTTGAAAAGAAGCCAGCAATCGTTAGGAGTCAAAATGTTCACCATCTATATTCCAGATATGGCCAGAAATTTACAGTTAACTCACCATCCCGCAGTTTCTAGAGTTTACTTCATTTCCCTTTTGGAAAAAGGCTGTGTTTTCGATCTCCAGTCTTCTAGTGTTCATTGTTTCTCCAGAGCTCTGACAGCAATACAGCAGTCCCACCCGCAGGCTGTTTCAGTACCTGGGGATATTTCATCGGAACTCATTTTAAACAGGTGTCTCCTACTATCCCCTCATCAGCCTGAGATGTCAGATTCTAACCCGATTTTTCTCTACACTATTCATTTGGAGAAGGGTGTCCCTGATGGCGAAGACAATGCTTGCCTTTGTTTGTTCTCTGCCCTCATGGCATTGCACCACCAGTCCCTAGTTATCATTCTAAACAGATTTAAAATGCATTTTTGTCATCGTTGACATTTTTAGGAGCTCATCTTCTCTCTTTTGCAATCTACTTATGGCACTCACCCAAAGGGAGAAAGCTCCTGGGCTGATTTTTGCCATTGTTTTTGTGGGATGTCTGCACCCGGCTTATGGTCCAAGGTCATGGAAGACATGTCGGGCTCCAGACTGGAAGCTGTAGGAACAAGCAGAGTGGGACCCAGTAACTGATGATGTAATGGTGGCAGAGGACCAGTCACATGGCTGTCAGTGGTTGTCCCTTTCTCAGATCATCCAGACTCTCCTGAACGGTGCTTACTGCACCCCCATTGCCTATTTATGTTCTTGAGTTGACCAGACCTCTGAAGAATGTGCCTGCTCCACTGGGAGAGGGCTTGGTGCTGAGCAAGGTGTATCGAGCAAATGGGGATCTGTGAGAAATAACTTCAGTCCCTACAGAAGCCTTTGCTACATTGGGATCAAACATACCTACAGATGACTTCAGCACCGGATGGTTTATGGTGAGTGCCACGCGATTGATAGAAACCAACTGTAAGAGTCTGGGAGAGAGAACTCTTCTAGCAAAGTGTGAAGAGGAGTCTGTGAAACAGTGGGCTTAGCTGAGCCTGCAAAGCCAGTCTGGATTTCAGTAGTTGGTGACTGAAGGTTCCCTGGGAGACAGCATTCCAGGCACAGGAGAGGGCATGAGGGAATGATTGAAGGCTGAGACAGTGAGAGCACATGTCACTTAACTATTGAATGTATGGGGGAAACTGCTCGTTTTTCATATAAGAGGTAAAGAGGAAGAGGGTGGAATTTGGGTGTGTGCTCATAGATAAAATGAATAGAATGTTGCTTAGATATTCCAGGGGAAGTAGTAATTATGCCTTACATACTCATCTTAGCTACACCTCCTGCCCAGATGCCCTCTTGCTAAGGAGGAGCAGGAAAGTGACTGTGCCAAGAATTGGGACTCACATCTTAGTTATAAATTGATGGGAATCATCTGTCAGATGGACAGATTCAAAGGGGGCCTCAGCCCTTCTGAAAATCCCTCCTAACCAGACATGGCATTTGAAGTCTGAAAACTTGGGGCACCTGAGGACTGTCCATGGGTGGGATTCCATGTTGGTTTGTAAACAAGAAATGTGTAGGCCATTATGTAAACACATATTGCTACTGGCATTCTTTGTTCAAACAATGGGCATAGATGCAGATTTCCCTTAACTGATGAATTTGACAGTGTTTTAACCAAGGCAAATTGTACGTCTTCCCGTTGACAGTGTTTCCAATCAGACAAGTGCCTATTTGTAGCAAAACATCAACCCAGGTTCCAACAACCTCAGGCATCCTATACTCCCGCATGAAATGCTAAGGTTGTCAGTCATTTGGAAGGCCCCGTGACCAGGGGTTGACCCACCTGTCTGCTCACTGTGTTGTTCACGTGGAGCTCCAGCCATCTGCTGTAGGAGTCCTGGTAAAATGTATTTCAAGACCAAGACCAAAAGTCACACATATCCCTATAAGGGAGCAGTAGGAATCCAAATCTTAAGAACACAGTGCCTTTCTTAAAGGGGCACCAGAGAGGGGAATTGTTATGGCCCCAAGTAGACCCTAAATCCCACCCCTTATTTTAGACCTGGGTGCAATAGGGTGTGTGTCTTAGGGCACAGGCGCACTCCTATCTGTGCTTGAACAGGTCTGCATGTTTGGAGGTGATATCTCATACTTGTTAGAATAAAGGCTTGCTATTGATCATGGGACTGAAAGCGAGTTCACCTCACTTTTCTGAACCTCAGTTTCCTCAATTGTAAAGAGAAATACAGGGTGTCCCAAAGAAACGTATGCACACTTTGAATACAGTGTTTATTAAAATGCATTTCATTTTCAAAATGTGATAGAATCTATAGCTATCAGCTCTTAAAATGTGTATATAATTTTTTGGGACACCCTGTATGCATGCTTAGCTCAGATGGCTGAGTTTAAATGCAGAAATGCAATATAAAGTGTCTCGCACAGGACTTTACAGTAACAGTCACTTATTTATTAAGAAAAACCAAATTTGCCCGGCCAGGTGTGGCTCTGTGGTTGAGCATCGACCTAAGATCCAGGAGATCTGGGTTCGATTCTCAGTCAGGACACATGCCCAGGTTGCGGGCTGGATCCTCAATGTGGGGGGTGCAGGAGGCAGCTGATCAATGACTCTCTCATCATTGATGTTTCTATCTCTCTCTCCCTCTCCCTTCCTCTCTGTAAAATCAATAAAGATATGTTTAAAAGAAAAACCAAATTTGTAAGCAAAGAAGATGGTGCACACTGATCAATTTTGCATCAGCTTTCAAATTCTATTACTCAACACAAATTATTTCCACCAAGCTATATGAGCTTTTGGTGGGGGAACTCAAATTTCTTAAAAAAGAAAAAAAAAAAGATAAATTGAGACAACTATTATTTAGACAGCTACATAGCACTTATTTTTTCTTTTCAGTATCACAGTAAACTTTTGAGTCTAAGCTTCTCCAGACGCTAAAGAAAGGTGGTTCCAAATCATCTGGGCCAGGGATCAGTACATAGCATCTCAGAAATGTGTTGCCTCCCCCAACCCCTGCTCCTGATTCTAGGACAACAGGATGCGGGCATACTCTGCTCTGGGCGCTTTGCCAGTTGCAGGGGAAACAACAATGAAAAGATAACCTCATTCTGGAAGAAAGACAAATGAAATTATTATAAATTCTAGGAACTATTCTGAAGGAAACAACCAGAGTACTAGCACTGAGAATAGCCTTAGGCACTGTTTATAACAGATTATTTTGAGGTATAAGGAAGGATATCGGAATTGTTACCTATGTGTTTAAGTTGGTAGTTCATCTTTTCAAGCTAAGGGGTCATTCTACGCCTTCTCTAGAAAGTCATCTCGAAGTTGTTGATAGGTCTGTTTTCCACC